AATTATTAATTAATCTGCAGTATTTGATTTATATTTTGGCACTTTAAGTTTGTCTTAACTTCTCGTGTATTGCATGCATCCATCCATGCATTCTCCCCGCCTTGTTAGTGTTCGAAGTTGTTACTGGCACAGTTTAATATCAGTGATTATAACTAGGCAAATGACTGCTACTGAGCATCTGTTTTGAACTACAATTAATGTTTTACCTCTTGTCACTGAACACTATGTTCTATATATAATAACATAACATACTGATCTTTAGCACAAATTTGAGCCTGAGGGATGTTTAGAAGTGCTGCAGGAGGCATCAGCTCATTTGGGATGAAATCGAGGAAGAGTGTCGGATGAGACGTGGAGAGTTTGTGCCGGTGGTGGTATTGTGATCTTGTTTCCACGCAGTATGCTAAAAGTGGAAGTTTTGTTTGGATTGAGTGCGTTTTTGTGCTGCTTAAATAAAACATTAAATCAAACACGGTTTCTCTGTGGTCTGTGAAGTTGTATGCTGAATTCACTAATTGACAAATAAAACTGTCAGGAAGAGGTGCCAATTAAAGTAAATGGTGACCAAAGAATTTCAATAAATCATGACTTTGACTCGGCATAAACATTTTGTAGATTATTGATTTTATTTCATCTCGTAATTTTTAATCAAAAAATGTCACTGCTTGATCAAACTCCTTCGATCTTATCCTCCACCTAAATCCAGCCATTTTCTTTACTACAATCTCGTATTCACATCTGTCTCCATCCAGTCTACAACCAATGGATCCCGTCCTACATTTTGTTTTTGATAATCTGTTTCAGTCAGATGTACATCACAATCTGTCGTTAGTTATTACATTGTCATTACACTGTTCCCCACGCCAATCTACCATAAGGCTTCAGAAGACTTTGAATATACTACACAATTCATATGGTCTCTTTTTATGATGCTTTATTTTGTCTTTTTATTTTTTTAGAGCTTGAAAGTCCTTGGTCCTCATCCGTTACATGGAAGAAAGCAGTGTGAACATTATTTAAAACCTCTCTAAGTAAAAAAAAAAAAA